CCCGGAGCCGGTGTCGAGGGGTATGGGCACGGGGGGAGCGAGGCAGCCATAGTACCTGAGTGAAGGCCAGCGCCTGCTGGGACTGCTGCTGCTCCTCGCTGACCTTTTGCTTCAGTTTCTTGAACATGGCGCAGCGTGGGGGTGGTCCTGAGTGTGAATGAGACCTGAGGGGCGAGTGCCCAGGAAGACCCAGCCGCGGCAGCGACGCCGGCTTCTCTACACGCGGGACCGCGGGGGCCGGGCCTGGCCGCCTACTCCCTGGGCTCGGGGCCGGTTCGGACTCTCGTCCTGCGGGTGTTGGCGTCGCCGCCGCCGCGTGTCTTTCTTCTGGGTGCCCCTGGCTGGCCTCGGCCCCCCATCCAGCCCCGACAGCGGCGGCGGCGGCGGCGACAACGGCAGCAGGTGAACTGGGTGCCCAAGGCGCCTGCGCGGCCGACGTGGAGCTCGCCCGGGGAGCGTGTACGGAGCGCCATAGGGGACAAGCACAGGCGCGCTCGGGTGTCGCTCCGAACGCGGGAGCGTGTTCGCGGGAGAACCCGGGTTCGGTGCGGCCACCGCCAATGCGCGTGGAGATGCGCTCAGAGCGGGGCCTGGGCGCGCACCGGGTTGGGCGGAGCGGGCGCTACTTGTGTCCTTGAGCGGGGCTGGCGGGCCCGCGGCTGCGAACCACGTGTGTGAGCGTTGAGGTGGGAGAGGGGCGATCGGGGAACCTGCTGCGGGCTCTGAAGGACAGTGCACTTGTGTTCCGTATTCATGGTTAGGATTTTGTGTCTTCGGTGCCTAGTACTCCTCCTGTTCCCCAGAAAACTATTCTGCAAACACTGAATTTCACTGTGTAAGGAAGTCTTAAACAAAAATTTAAAACCTGAGGTTCAGAGAAGTTAAGAATCTCACTGAAAGTAGCACAGCTTGGACATAGTAGAGGCAGCATTTGAACCCAGAACCTTCGCGGCTTTAGAGCCCATAGCCACCCCACCACCACGCTGCCTCTGGGTCCCTTACTGCAGAGGCAGAGACTCGCATTAATATTGTTTCTCTATTTTTCAACTCTCCGCTCCCAAACGATCTACCGATTGATAGCATTGATTCTTTCTTGATTGCAAAAAATATATATATATATGTATTTTATTTTCTACCTATATAATCAGAGGGTTATCCTCAAATGTGGAAGTGCTACAGCTGTGTTGTTCATATGCCAGATTTGCCAACATTTGTATAGGATGGGACACACACACACACACACACACACACACACACACACGGGCTGTAACAAGTACCAGAGATCCAGAATAGATAGAAATATTTGTATTACTACATACACTGTGTTAATGTACTTCATTAGAACAATTTAAAACATATTATGTTTTTGTATTTACTTTTGCAAAAGAACACACTATGGCATATAAATTAAAGTTATAAAACCATTGGAAACCTCCCATGAAAGAAAGATCTGCGCCGAAACCAGTTTGGCTCAGTGGATGGAGCGTCGGCCTGCGGACTGAAGGGTCCCGGGTTCGATTCCGGTCAGGGGCATGTGCCTGGGTTGCGGGCACATCCCCGGTGGGAGATGTGCAGGGGGCAGCTGATCGATGTTTCTCTCTCGTCGATGGCTCTGGCTCTCTATCTCTCTCCCTTCCAGTCTGTAAAAAAGCAATAAAATATATTTAAAAAAAAAAAAAAAGAAAGAAAGATCTGCACATCAGTGCCTAAACTTAGATGATGACTCTCCCAGGAGTTTAGCCAATTTTTCAGCCTGAGGCTTTTTTTTTTTTTTTGCCTTCTGTTAACAGGTTTATTTTTTTATTTTTTTTATTGCTTAAAATATTACAAAGAGAAGTACATTTGTCTCCTTTTTTTCCCCCTTGACCTTCCCCTAGTCTCCCCTGCCCCCCAGTGTCTTGTGTCCATTGGTTATACTTATATACATGCATACAAGTCCTTTGGTTGATCTCTTACCACCACCCCACAACCCTCCCCAGGCTTCCCATTGTAGTTTGACAGTCTGTTTAATGCTGCTCTGCCTCTGTATCTATTTTTGTTCATCAGTTTACAATGGTCTTTAAATAATTTTTTATATCTTTGTATATATATAAATATATATATAATTGATTTCAGAGAGGGAGAGAGATAGAAACATCAATGATGACAGAGAATCATTGATCGGCTGCCTCCTACATGCCTCCCACTGGGGATCGAGCCCACAACCCAGGCATGTGCTCTTAACTGGAATCAAACCTGGAACCCTTCATTCCACAGGCCCACGCTCTATCCACTGAGCCAAACCACCTAGAGGTCTATCTTTGTTTTCTATTGAATACCCCTTGTAGGCAGAAAGTAAGCAAACTAGGGGAAAGTGAAGGGCTGCATTATTATTGCTATTGCCCATGGTACGCACAAAGTAAAAGAGCAAAAAATGACTTTCCCAGAGTCATCTGATCCGTGGCAGAACTGGAAGCCAACCTGAGACCTTCTTGCCCTTTTCCTGGCCTCCAACTGAAATATATTTAACACTCCCTTTTCTTCTGAGACATGCCCTGCTTAATTTTTTAACAGTTTTATGATTGTTTACATGACAAGCCTAGGGCTGTTTACACAGCTGATGACAACAGTTTAATGAGAAAAATCATTTGAAGGGAAAACCCAACACTGGGCTGAGAAAAAAAAATCTAATTTCAAGAATGAGGCTTCTGGAAAACTACAAGGTTGATGAAATGGAGGGAGAAGGTGTCAAATTCCTTGCTCCTTACTAAGGACTTGATAATCAGATTCCTGAATAAACAAACATTTGAATAGAGTGTTTGTGTTGTTAAAAAATAAAACAAAACAGCACTTGCCTCATATTCAAGATGTGTGGGTGGGTTCCCCCAAAGTGGAAAGACTGGGTAGTGGAATGAATAAGCACATACACATTAAACTCATCTGCCTGCGTGCAAATCCCGGTTTTGCCATTTATTATTTCTGAGATGGGGGAAATCACTTAACTTCGTCATATTTCAGTTTCATCTGCAAAAAGAAGACATGTCATTGTATCCATCGTAAACTTCCTGTGAGGATTAAATGAGCATTTGGTTAATAAGTTGGTATCATGGAAGAAAAAAAAAGTTGAAGTAATTTCTCACACCTGAAAAATTACTAGAAGAAAACATGGGAGGATTTACTTTATAATCTTAGGTGCTCAGGGCCCTTCTAAGTATAATACAAACTCCAGAAACCATTACAAAGAACATAGTTCAATTCATTATCTAATCTAAATGTTTTTTTAATTCTGCGTGTCAAAAATGCTATAAATATAATGAAATATTGTGCAATTCATTGCTCTATTGTAATCACATGACAACAGGAATAAATGTGGGAGCAAAAATGGCAAGCAAAAGAAAGTATACTACATGATTTCATGTAGGCAAAATTAGTGGAAGTGTTAGAAGTCAAGGAAAATATTGTCTTGATGTATAGGGAAGGCATAGAAATGGGGATGGGGATTGAGGGTACCTGCCAGTAGGTAGTATTGTGTCTTACTGCCAATTGTATTCTGTCTTTGTCATTGGTGGTGATTACAAAGATATGTTTGAAATATTTATTTCCTGATTGTGGTAGTAGGTATACAGACCCAAACATGTGTTAAAACTCACAGATCTGTACATGGGAAGTAAGATTTATTTTTACTGTATGTAAATTGTAAAGTAATAGTTTACCATGAAAACAAAGAAATAGGCACAAAATACAAAAAAGAATGCATTAGCTCTATGCATACAAATATAGGGAAATCTCAAGATTTTTTGTTAAGAGAGAAATCAAATGCAGTGTATATAGCATGCTACTGTTAGTGTGATTAAAAATGCTGATTTTTTTAACTTTAAAAATGGCAATTTCATATGGTTCAATAAATGTACCTTCTAGTATATAATGCTTTCAACAATAAAGATTTTTAAAAAATCAAAAAATGTATGTATGTAGATTTGTAAACACACAGATATTACAGAATATATCTAGAAAAACACATAAGAAACCAGTGAAGTGGTTGCATCAGTGAAGGGCACTAGGCCGCTGGAAGTATCAGCATTGAGATTCACTTTTGTGTCCTTTTTATCTTTTTAATTTGTTGGAGAGGAGAATTCCCCCCCTCTCTACCCTGCTTTAGTTCTTACGGCTGGACTAATCATAAAACAATAAGATTGATACAAGACTACATTAACAGGGGGGAAAAAACAATTCAATACGTGTGCATAGGAGAATCACAATAGATTGCTCAGATCCTAAGATGAGGCGTCTTTTTATACTTTTTAGGCAAAGAAACAATAAGTTTGTGAAGAATTGACAGGACAAAGAGGGGGGGAAAGTTAGTGCTCATTAGAAAGGACTGTAAGCAAGGTTTGGGTATGTGTTAATGAGAAATTTAAACAAAGCAGTAAATTAGAAAAGAGGCAACAAGTCTTGTTTATACAGACTGTTTGGCTCTGAGTTGCTTAACTCTAGCAATAAGAGCTGTCCTCCAGGTGCACGGAGGACACTTGTCACATGAAAGATTTATTTCCTGCTCTCAAAGGACAAGGGAGGGTCAAGGTGCTTTTCTGGCACCAGCTGCTTGTCAGGTAACTTGAATTCAAAGCCATCAATATGCCATTGTGGGCTATTCCCGGTGGCCTGCCTTGGGCCCCAACAAAGTCACATCCCTAGCATGTATTAACTATCCTAAAAATGTTAACATGTTGAAGAAGTAGGCAATGGAGCATTACCTTCAAAATGTTATAGAAAAATTGTTTTCCACCTCAAATTCTTTTTGAGCCAAATAATCAATCTTGTATGTGTCCATAAGGACTTAGGAAAATTTCAAAGGAGACACACCAAACTATTAGTTATGGATAGGTCAACCCTGAGTAGTTTAATTAAACTGTGGGAGTACAAATTTCACTTTTCATTTTGTGATTTTCTTTATGTTTTCAGTATTTGAAATCCTATATTAAAAGCCTAATATGCAAATTGTTCGACCAGGAGCTCTACTGCTCACTATGATGTGCGCTGGCCACCAGGGGGCAGTGTGGAACATGGCAGACGTCGGAGATGAGGCGCTGGCAGCGGGTGGCAGTATAGGCGCTGCGGGCCCCAATGGGCCCCCTTGGGCCCCAACGATCATGGGACCGCGGCAGGATGGTGAAGCAGGCGAGCAGGCGGAGCCAGGCCAAGGTGGGTGCAAGGTGATTGATCCGCCAATCATCCCACAGACAGTGAGCAGCGGTGGTGGTAGGGGGCAGGACCGCCACCTGGTTCCCAGGTGCTGAGGAAGCCGGGCAGGGGGAGTCCGCCCACCCCCCATCCCCCGCCCCAATGGATGGCCCTGCAGGCAGGATGGTGGAGCAGGTGAGGGGATGGTGGAGCAGATGAGGGGACGGTGCCAGGCCACTGAGGGTGCCAGGCAGGGCTCCGGGGCTGGGAGGCTGGGGGTGTGAACTGAGGCTGCGAGCCTGGGGGCACGAGCTGGAGTTTGATCCCCGTAGGCCACCCCGAGGGACCCCACCCATGCACATACTCATGCACCAGGCCTCTAGTCTGTATATAACACTTTTACAGAACCAAGATGTGGCTGAACCCCAGAGGTAGGTGCTGCCCCCTCCCACCTCCATCTCAGGACAGGATAGTACTTTGACTTTCCAAAGGAAAACAGGCTCCCTTGTACAATCGAGAAATACGGATATTTTACTCCAGAGTCTAAAATTTCTAGAGTCTAGATTTTTTAGGGGGAACAAAAGTCATGATTTCCATTGTCTAGTGCGCAGTACTTTACTCCAACTCATCTTATTAAACCTACCTTTTCTACCAAACAAACCACCTACTCACTGACTTAGGGTCGCCATCAGTCTCCCCATGCAGATATCAGCCTTGTTTGGCTCAGCCTTTTCCACCTGGTCCAGGGTGGTCCAGGGCCTCTGGCATCGCTGTGTCTCCTCCCCTGAATCACAGCCTCCTCTGCACGCCTCTCCAATCTTGCTGTCTCATATCTATCTCTTCACTCCATCCTCCTGGGCAGGAAAGGCCATTGTTACAGGGAAGCTGCATTCGCACTCAGCAAACCAAGGATCCTCTGGTTACTAGGCACCGCCTTCTTAGGAGGAAGAAAAGGAATTGTAAACAATAAGTCTTTTTCCAGCATCAATCATTATTTAAAGAATCCCACTTGTAATTTAAAAAAATTAGAGCTAAAAAATAAAGCCTTTTCCTGACCTTTTCCTAACCATAGAAATTTGTTAACACATGAGCTAAGGATCTTTACTGAACAAGGGTTTCCAGGCACTAGGTTCCTATAGGAATAGATGAAGACAATTAAAGTGGATGAGGCATATTAAAAGAATCAGGCTTCGCTTTTCAACCCAGGAACAAGAGGACAAGTGTTGCACATTTGTAAGGGTCTGGGATGCTTGTGGCTGCACCTTTTAGACCCTCAGAGAATGAGCGTGTGTGCCCACCTTGTACGAGGAGCAATTACCCACCAGTTGCTTTCCTTGGTTGCCATGGCAGCCAGAAGAGTCTTGGGTCACTCTCTCCTCACTCCAGGCAGACAATGGGGCCTCTAGTCTCAGCCAAAAGCCCCACCCACCCCGCCTCCAGCAGCTTGTGAAAGGTGGAGAAGCATTCCTTTCCGGAGAGTGCTTTCAACTTGGACAACTCCCCCAACACCAATTCCACAGCTCCCCAAGGGGCACACCCCAGTTCCAGATTCAACCTCCAGAGAAACCAGAGACACCTACCCTGCACTCTGCTTCAGGATCGTCTACCGGGGAGGCCCAGTACAATGCTGATCATCTGACAGCTGAAAGGTGATGGACTTTAACAAACACTCATACGATATTCTGAAAAAGTACATTTTCTTTGTTTTGGATGTTAAGGCTTACATCTCATTACAGAACCAGCCTGCAAAATTCACACTTGGTAAACTGTCCCAGAATTCTGTTCTTGCTCCATTTGAAAGGGCCTTATTCAGAGTGAACTGGCCCCCTACGTGAACAGTCTTTGAGGGGAAAAGACAGTCTCCCTTGTCTTTGCCCACTGTGTATGAAAGAATTGCCTGTCCTCCTGGGCCAAGGGTCAGATGCCAAGGCGAGCTATAGCTCAGCAGTGTGGGATGACTGTGAAAATATTGACATTTGACAATAGGCCCCAACCACCAACTGTGACAATTCAGTAACTGCCCCACCCCAGACAGGTGAGGGATGCAGCCAAAACAAGTTGTTGCCAGAGAAGAGGTTTCTGTTGTGGGACGAATCCTCTGACCTCCATCGTAGGCAGCTGCACAATAACACTGACTTGTTTGTGACTTACTGACAACCAGAGAGAATCAAACGCTGCCATGCAGGGAGCTGGGTTGTCCTCAGTAACCTGCCCTTTTCTCTATTTACACAACTTTCCCACCAGAGTGGAGGACATCAGCTTTCAAAGGAAAGTGCTATTAGATGCCTCCTGGTCTCCATTACTTTCCCTGATGTGCCTTGACTTCAAGGTAGTCTACCAAGTCAAGTAGTGTTGGCCTAGTGCTCAAATGTTCTCTCTCCTCCAACTCCCATTTTCTGATATCTCCATGTAACAGCCAAGATCCACTCAGGAAAACATACCAGGTATGGGGACCTAGTTAGACAGCTATTGGGAAAACCAAAAAGCCAAACAAAGGACAGTGAGGCAACCTAGAGCTTAGTAAGAGCAGGGAGCTGCTCTCATCCCTAGGGCTGGAGGCCCTAGGGCAGGAGGCGGTGTTAACAGAGTCCAGGACAGGACCAGAACCACAGAGGTGGAGCCACCTCAACGCAGACACTCCGGCTCCTCCCACCCTCAGTCATCCCAGAGTTTTCCACTGGCAGCACCCACTTGGCAAAGGAGCCTGGGAACTGTTGTTGTAGGGTCAGCCCCTTTCAATTGCAGGAGTGGAGAGAAGAGCTGCGAACAAACAGAAAATGACTGTCACTCTCTGAAAATGTCATTTCTACAACAGATAAAAGCTCAACATCTTCTACAAGTGGATTCTGCACTCTTAGATTAGTGCAAAATTCATAGAGCAGACCGGCCGGTGTGGTTCAGTGGTTGAGCATCGACCTATGAACCAGGAGGTCACGGTTAAATTCCCAATCAGGGCACATGCCAGGGTTGCAGGCTCAAGCCCCAGTAGGAGGTATTCAGAAGGCAGCAAATCAATGATTCTCATCAGTGATGTTTCTATCTCTCTCTTTCCCTTCCTCTCTGTAATAAAAATTATATATGTTTTTGTTTTGTTTTTATTCACTGAGCAAGAGAGTCAGGCACCAAGATGGAACCAATGACTTGCCCATTGTTAACCAAGGAGATTCTTGGAAAACTAGTTTGGGGAAATTTTAGCAGTTGCAGGAGGGAGGGAGAAAGTGAAAGAATCTGAGAAAACTGGGGTGTTTTTAGCAGAGATTAGATAAGACCTGATTTGCATTTTTACAAGAGAAACCTGGTTGTGATTTAGAGCAAGTTTTCTAAAGCTTTAATGCGCATGCATCACCTGGGATCTTGTTGAACTGCAGGTAACAGCAGGTGGGGCTGGAGCCTGAGATTCTGCATTTCTATCAGGCTCCTAGGTGAAGTCGATACTGCTGGTCCATTGACCACACTGAAAGCAAGGATTGAGAGAGAGACTTGAGTTTATGTAAATGCTGACTGGAAAGGTCCAGGAGGGAGAAAGTGTTGATGCAGAAAGAGGTAAAGATGAAAGACTCCTGAGAATGGGGGAGGGAATATGATGCTGGGCATAGATGAAGGGACTGATCCTCTATGAAAACAGGAGGGAACAGAGATGTGTGTAGAAGCAGGAGGTTTAGTGGGAGGTTGATCAATGTTAAGCAGATTTCAGATCATGTAGGTTTCTTAACTAAGGTTCCTTTCAGGACCTTTACTATATTAAGGTGTATTATGAATCAATCAGAGGTTTCCTAATCATGATTTACAGCAGAACCCCTTTTCATGGATCATCAAGGGGACTTGTGCTCTGGAAAACATACCTTGGAAAACCCTGACCTGCCTAATATATGCCTGAACTTTCCTAGCCATTAAATGGAGACAGTAAGATCTTATCTGACAACCAGAGGCCCGGTGCACGAAAATTCGTGCACTCAGGGGGACAGGGAGGGTCCCTCAACCCGGGCTGCACCCTCTCGCAGTGCGGGACCCCTCAGGGGATGTCCACCTGCCAGCTTAGGCCCGCACCCCTGGGGGATCGGGCCTAAGCTGGCAGTCAGACATCCCTCTGGCAGGCTGGGAGCCCTCGGGGGATGTCTGAATGACGGCTTAGGCCCGCTCCCCACAGGCCTAAGCTGTCAGTCGGACATCCTTAACGCTACCACAGAGGCAGAAGAGGCTCCCACCACCGCCACTGCGTTGGCCAGCCATGAACTGGCTTCTGGCTGAGTGGCGCTCCCCCTATGGAAGTGCACTGACCACCAGGGGGAAGCTCCTGTGTTGAGTGTCTTCCCCCTGGTGGTCAGTGTGCATCATAGCAACCGGTTGCTCCACCGTTGGGGTCAATTTGCATGTTACCCTTTTATTATATAGGATTACTTCATAACAATGTTGTGAAGGTAAGTTTGAAACATATAGATTTCATAGTTAAGGTCTTAGTGTAGAGATTCAAGTAGGGAAAGGCATGTTTCATCAATAGTATAGTCCAGGTGGTCATCTGAGGAAGCAGAGATGGCTGTGGTCCAGGAGGGCATTAATTACCTTGCTGAATTCACCAGAGCTCTCCATCTTGCAGGCTCAGAGACTGTTTCCTCAACACACTGAAAGGAGACAGCTCTCAGAAGCTAGTACACATGAGCTAGTGTCTCAAGATAGAGACATAGAGTGTATTAATCTACAACAATGAGGGCTATCTCTATCACATGGGCCTTTATAACCTTATTCATTCATTCATTCAAGAGTATTTATTTTTATTGATTTCAGAGAAAGGAAGGGAGAGGGAGAGAGAGAATCATTGATTGGCTGCCTCCTGCATGCCCCCTACAACCTGGTCATGTGCCCTGGCCAGGAATTGAACCAGCAACCTCCTGGTTCATGAATGTACACTCAATCACTGAGCCACACTGGCTGGGCAAGAGTATTTATTAATTGCCTGTTATATGCTGGGCTATGAAATGGCAAAAGATCTCAGCAGCATAAATCTGTGTCCTTCATGGGAAATGACAGACAGATCTCATTCCAATGACATGAGAAGCTTGAGAGGCTGCCGGGGGATTAAAGGTGTTGTAAAGGACTGCCTGCAGAGAGAATGAGATGAACATGCAACGAGAAGTGGGGGCAAACTACTTTGAGAACTGGATGGAGAGAGAGTCCTGTTGACAATGAGTCCATGGTTCCTGTCCCTGAGACACTTGGTTCTTTGGCTTTTCCTCCCACCTTCTAAGTTCACCCTCGAACTGATAAATTCTCTCTGCGTAAGCTGGTTTTCGTCAGGTCCCTCTGTAACTGACAGAATCCTGATCTGTATGCGGGGAATGTAACGTGACTGGATCTGGCTACATTTGAAGCCATTTGGAGCAGCTGGTGTTCCCTCATGATTCACGAACATTAACAGAGAAGATGAGAGATACAAGCCAGGCAGGAGGGCTTTCCAGGCTAACATCTGCAAGATCTGAGGAAGGAGACTAAAGAATGGCATTGTCCTCTCTGTGTCTTGACAAAGGACAGTGTTGCCTCTTTACAAACAAGAAGGGTAGACTTGAGCTAGTATTTTATTTTACTTTATGTTATTTGTTAATAATTTTTTTATTTTCAAGAAAAACGGTTTTAAATATAATAATGTTACATGCAATAAACATTCATATTTCAAGAAAAACTATTTTAAATACAAAGTATTACATGCAATAAAAATTAATATTTCAATTGAGCTAGTCTTTTAAATATTTGGTCGTTGAATCCATCAGTACCAGCCTGTTGCCTTAGTAAGGCTTAGCCATTGGTTCTCTCTTGTCCACAGCTGCAACCCAGGTTCACTCATAGCCTGTTAAAGGAGGCATCTGACTAGCTCCGCCCCCCAGGCTATGCATCAGCTCAGATGGTGTTACCTCATTCTGGCTGCGGTGACCCAGGTCTGATAACTGAGCTCTGGTCTCATCAACAGGATCACATCTCCAATGTTCTGATTATTCATTTGGCTTTTGCTTTTCTCCGTTCCTGAATTCTTATTCTAGTATGTCACCTAGCATCTCATTCTCCTTCCTCCTCCTCTATGGACCATAGCCTTGCTCCTTCCCTAAGGCCAGTGACTAGCAGTTTGCCACCCACTGTCCCATCTCCCTGGATTCAGCTCATTCTGAGTTCCTATCTTCCTACCATACTCATTGTAATGATCTCAGGAGGCTCAATTAATAACCTGCTACTCTCCTTTCAGGTTCTGAGCCAACTGAGAGATAAACACAGGAGTCAGGCAGATGGAGGACAAAGTATCAGCTTTATAACTAATGAGAGTGATCAAATGTAAGAGGCATGGAGTGTGCCTCACACCCTTGTTAATAAGCTTCACTCCAGAACTAAACGAACTCTTCAGCAGAGGAGGAGGCATGGCATTCTACTCCAGCCTCTGCGCCCCGATGATGGTGGCAGGGCTTGAGCTGGGCAGCTGCCAGAACTATGTCCATATCACCCAGTTCCTAGTGACAACTGCCCTGGTGGGCTTTACCTGATGTCTTCATTGGGTTCCCCCAGAAGCAGATGCTGAGACAATGACTCAGTGCAAGTCATTCATTTGGGAACTAAAGAAACACCAGGAGGAGGGGAAGTGAAACAGTATGGGAAAGGCAGACAGAAATGGGGACATTATCCAGCCATCTACCCTGGGGACGACTGGAGCTCGGTTGTGATCCTGCGAGCCAGTGTAGACTCACACTCAGGTATCCCACCCAAGGGAGAGGAGCTTTGGTATTTTTATACACTAACTTCCATGAGTCACTGGTTGAAGGCTAGTGGGGATGAAGCAAGGGGAGGGACAGTAATTCTTGGACACCTGCAGCCTGCCACGCAGGTGAGCGAAGTGGGCTTCAGTGGCCAGAGAACTGCCCTCAGACAGAGTGGCAGCAGCTGGCAGTTGGAAGTTGGGCTGCTGTGGGGAAATGGATAAAACACCCCCTCTTTTTTTGGCCTCTGGATTCTATCTCTGACTCCCAGGAGGAGAATCTGAACTCCTCCTGCTTCCTGTTCAGGAATGACTATGACTCAGACTCATGCCACCTCCTCCTGCACCACCAGCACTGGCAGCACCTCCCCACCCCACCCCCAGGGCAGTGAGCATCTGACTGGAGCAGGACCAGCCCCTTTGACAGCAGCTGTTGGAAGGCCAATGAGAGTGCAATCACACGGCTGTTATCAGAGGACTTTCCCCCAGATGAGAAGTAACCTGTAATTGAGAAGCTGAGGAGGAAGGTAGAGATGTGTCATTTCCCATACAAGCTCTGAAGCAAAAAGAAATGTTTCTAAAGTAGCAATAATTAAAAAAACAAACAAACACTAATTTTGATCAACCATGCAAGAGGAAAGACTGAATTACTTCTATTCTCTTTATAGAACACTAGAGGCCTGGTGCACGGATTTATGCACCAGTGGGGTCCTTCAGCCTGGCCTACTGGGATCAGGCTGAAACCAGCCCTCTTACATCCCCCAAGGGGTCCCGGATTGTGAGAGGGTGATTCTCAGATGATGCACCCCAGAATCAGGCTCCCTCCTCTCTGGTTCTGAGTGCACCACCCGAGAACCGCAGCTGCCAAATCACTGCAGCTTGGTAGCTCCTGCATTGAGCATCTGCCCCCTGGTGGTCATTGTGCATCACAGCTACTGGTCGGATGGTCAGGTGGTCACTTAGGCTTTTATATATATAAATGGCGTTATAAAATTGGTGTCATAGGAAGAGGTAACCAAAGAGTAGACAG